CGACGTCTTATATTACATAGAAGCGACATCCAGCAACCATACCAAATAATCTTCTACTACACATAAGAAAGTAAACTTCATATCTTACTTCACAAGAGAGAAGTTTTAGCAACCGAATTACGGAGAATCTCCTACTTCACAAAAGAGTCTTTGTCTTCTACTACACAGAAGCAAAAATTCAGAAACTGTAACATAGAATCTTCTACTACACAGAAGAAACTAAACTCTGAATATAGCATTCGACCTTTGAGGTATTTTTCTTCTACACAACAGCAGATATCCAAGAACTCGACGTCTTATACTTCTTCATCATAGAAGCATCACCCCCATCTTATACTTGCACATAAGAAGAAATCAACTGAGGAAAAAGAGTCTGAAATGGTTTTCCCAAACATGGACTGAACCTTGGAAAAGAACAAGTACCAAACTTCATACTTCAACCCCTTGCAGTATTAAATATCCTAACTAAGTGCCCCAGAGTGGGAGACACATCTAGCATTTGTATCGAAATCAGGAGAGAAATTTGTTGGAGGATGACCCAAAGCACGAAGCTTAATCAAACGAGTTTCCAACACATAAGGAAGTAACTGGATACAAGGTATATAGATTTTATCAACCTGCCTCTCAAGATTTATTTGTCTCTGCTGGTAAGTTTTACCTCATGAGTTCACTTGGAGATCAGAAACTAGCTGCTAGCAAGTAAATTCGAGAACACGAAGCTCTGGGTGAGACCCACAAAGTATCTCATGATAAAAAAAGTCCCATAGGCTGGGGATGAGTGACAGCTCATGTTGCAATAACGTATACGAGATCACTTTTCTTTGCCAACACTATCTTCAAAACTTCCATACCCGACTCAACCGAGTCTTTAACTGGTTATCCTTTCTCCTTGAGGATTTATGACTACAGACCATTACTTGCATGTCCCCAATAAACATCCCCATTTGATTTTTTTTATTTCATCCAATTCCTCACAAAGTTGTTTCATAAATTGAATCTGATCACGAAGCGGCGAAAAGTCAAGATTGGCAGCTCTGAGAAGAAAATACTGAGGCTGAATAAGGATTCCCCATTCTGAGTGCCTTCTAAGTACCTGCCATGGATACATGAAGATGCCTGAGGATGCATGAGGTGAGAGAATTCCCCTTCTGATATGATTTGGACACCACAGTCTCCGTATTGATCTCGTCTTGGACCTTGTCTATGGATGACGTACTCTTTTCAATCGAATGATCAATTTCCCCAGAATAATATGCATAAAAGATTCCTTCAGGAGAACCACTGAATTCTTCTTTAAGTGAAAACTGCATCATCAGGCATACTACGCCACAAAAGCTAATACAGTTTGTCTTCTATCAAAACAAAAGAGACATCCACCTGGTGAAAGAGAGTTTGGAAGAGACTCCAAACAGGTGTTGGGCTTTTATAACCCCTTTGTAGTCTTCAATATCAAAACCGGGTACCCCAGAATAGGAAATGTATCTAGCATACATATCGTAATTAGAAGAGACGTTCGTGGGAGGAAGTTCTCAAAGATCAGAGCTGGGAAGAACTGGGAATAATAGGATGTAATGCATTGGGCTTGCATTAGCATGCTCATCGGGGTTCTTGTCTCTTGGCTTAAAAGCTTTGCCCCCTGGATTTACTTGGGGAATAAAGACTGGCTCTTGTTGAACAAATTAGGGAACACCAAGTTATGGAGGATGCCCCTGGTTAAAAGGTCTGATGCCCCGGTGTGGCAACCACATCTTGACGTTGGTCAATAAGAACGAAGCACTGATATAAGATCCCACAACAAATGGGACCCATCTGCTGATGAGATGTCTCAAGAATGTAGCACTCCATAGTTGGAAGCAATTCCCAAAAGATGAGGAGAAGAGAGAACCTTTACTGTGACAGTAGGTGCAAGATTGTTGACATCGTCATTTAGAGCTTTCATGACCTGGCTCATCCGAGTTTTCAATCAATTATCTTCCTGCTTGAAGATATTTTTGACTACGGGCCAAAGCTTGCATGTATATCACTCAGAGCTGTTCCATAACCGATCCCTGAACAAGTGCAGTAAGAAATCAGAGTTAAACCTCCAAGGAGAACCATGTCTGAATAAGAATCCCCAACTTTGAGTACCTGTTATGGATGCATGAATATACATGGAGTGCATGAATAGATGCCATGTTATGTCCCTTCATTCCCAAGGAATTTACATGCTTTGATTTTACGTATGGAAAAGTTTGGCATAAGGCTTACAAATACGATTCCTTGGAAATCATAGAACATGTATGCTAAGTATGTGGTCAACCATGTTATGTATGCAAAGGCGTGAGATCAAATGGGTTCAAGGTTACATCATTTCTGGGTATGATTGATGCGTTATTCTGAACCACATGAATATCATCAAATCAAAGGTCCGACATAGCTTCCGCACATATAAAAGCCGAGTACTATGTAGATCTAAGTAGCATGAGATCAAGGCTTTAGGAACATCAGGTACTGCTTGAGCATTTCTGAGTATGCTGGGAATGCCAAGATCAAAGGCTTGAATGAACTTCCAAGTAAGCAAGTCAGGAACTCAGAAAATAAATCTGAGAACCAAATGGTCACCAACAGAACACCATATGCATAAGTCATTGACAGAAGTCCATAACATGATCATTAGAACCACTAATCACCATCTGATCACAGTCTCCATCTGAGCATGAGTAACCATTTGAACATAGCACCAACTGTACCTGTAATAACAAATCCCTCCCCACTCACGGGTGAAGACTAGGTCAGGGTAAGACAATTGTAACTCGAAAATCACGGGTCCACCTGAAAGTACTAAGGGCTTACCCACAGACATGGGTGCCGATAGTAATTTATTTGAACCTCATCCGAGCGTGGTATATGACATGACTGCACTAATCGGACCACGTCCTATAGCCGTCATGCCCCCACTCTATTCCTAGTGTCCAAGTGCACTCTGGCCTGGGTACTGGGCCTTTTACCTCAATAGTGACATCCCCACCCAACATGGAAAACAGAGTCCAGCATAATAGATAACAAATGGGGAAAGCAATAAAAATGCAATGCACTTATGCTCAGGCAAACATGTACAAATGAGTAAACTGAAAGCATAAAAATAGACACCCAAAGAAAGGAAAGCAAGAGCTAGGAGCGACTCCGGGATGGACCAGCATTTGGCCGACCAGTTCCCCAGTGAAGTCGCCAGCTGAAACAACCGGCTGAAAATCATCAAACAATGAAGTCGCCATCGAACGTCTTTTATCCCACATGTAGGGAAAGGTAAACGTCGAGAAAACCTGATGAGGGAGAAGTCACGGTCTTGCGACCGAGAGATCGGGTAAGGGAGTCTGTTACGCGAGGGGAAGATATTAGCACCCCACATGCCCGTAGTACTCTACGGTATCCACTCTTGTTGTCTATCTTATGGGTGTGTTTAATCTATGCTTACTGTTTACTATACTACTGGAGGAATGCATGCAAAATAAAGGAGAAAAGAATGTAGGGAAAATAAAATTGTGCTCGCTTGGGCCCTATCCCAATGCCCACGTATCCCTTTTAAGGAATCAGAGCAGCCGTAGTTCGGCTTACATGTTTTTGTTTATTTGTATTTTTTACTGAACAATATTAATTTCGCCTTCTGCCGCAACTCGACCGTTGGAGACTTACGCGTCAGCACAGAAGTGAATTAACATGCTCTCTGGAAAAGTTTGGAAAGAAATGTGCCTGGACGCACACAAAAGGTTGAATTTGTTTGTTTTTGTATGAACGATATTAATTTCGCCTTCTGCCGCAACTCGACCTTTGGAGATTTACGCGTCAGCACAGAAGTGAATTAATACGCTCTTTTGAAAAGGGTTTGAAAGAAAGGCCCGAAGGCAAAAAAAGATTTTTATGTTTGTTGGTGTTTTTCGCTTGTAGAGAATAGCTAGTTGATCTCAAGGGAGAGATTTTAGCCACGTCTCTACTTATTCATGAAATGAGTCTTTGAGACTTGAACCACACCAAAGCTTAGAATAAGAGATCAATAAGGTCGAGAAGAGACCCGCTTATCGTCTCACATACTTAACGAAGATATGATTCTCGTCAGTAAATTTTTATGTGCTTTTGAAGTTTGTAAAAAAGGAGAAGTTTTTGTTTTAAATGCATATGTAAAGGGGGAAAGAAAGTCACATGAAGACTAGCTTACTTCTAAACCTAATTTTATCATGCGTTGTTAGACTTAAGTCAAGGATGAATGAAAGGGAAACATCTACCTAATGTTAGCATGCATATGGTTTGCGATAAAGAAATGCAATAAAGTGCGAAATGAGGGATAAAATAAGGCCACGGTGATACCGAACGGAGAAGGTCCGTTGCCTTTTTGAAACCGTGCAAGCAATAAGAAAACTTTAACAAAAGCTGCTCCACGCGGGTGATCAAAGAATTGATCTCCCAACATTCCTCATCGCAAAAATTGCATTAATATCCTATCATAAAATCTTAGCTAAAAAAAAATGACAATGAAAATAATTGTTAAACACAAAATAATAGAAAGTTCTAGTAAAATTCTAAAGCAAAGTCCTAAAGAATCCTAAAATATGCTACTATTTTTGTATATCATTTTTATCATGTAAAAAAAAGGTTCAAACAAATTTAAAATCGTTCAAAATAAACTAAAAAAAATAAGAAAAAGAAAGAGGCCCGAGGAGGTGCAAGCTGAATCCAATGGTGTATTATAGCATAATGTTAGGCCTGCCATTAGAAGTGGCGCACAGGCCCAGTCCAGAGATGTCCAAAGCTGTTTTTTGGAAGAAAGGCAATTGATGTGTCCAAAAAGCATGTGGTAATGGGCTCAGGAAGGGTATAGATCGTAATAAGGCCCAGGTGCTTCATAAGGATCACGCCCAAACATCAACACACTCACCATCAAAATTTACCTTCCTAGTTACTTTTTATTATGATTTTATTAATATTTGGAAAAAAAAGGAAATATAAAAAATAATAAATGAAAAGAGTTAAACGGTTTCCTTTTGGTGTGGACTAGGGTTAGGGGTGACCCTTCGACTCCCTCTGAGAAACAGAAGTTTCTCCTTCTTCTCTTCTTTCAAACGGCGCGGTAGCTCCTTCTCACCCTTATTATTCCTACAAACTTTCTTAATAAATTCCAAAACAATCATCTGAAGCTGTTCACCCCAATCAATAATCCTATCTATATTTGAAAAAAGATAATTGACAACACGATCCTGAGAACAAGAAAACAGCATAAGAAAAGCATTACGCTTACTCGGCGGATCCTGTTCAGATGCGAGAAACTTCTCAACGATCTCCGGCGCACTGTCAAGCAACTGCTCCCCCTGAGGAAGCTTATAAACAGACATAACAGCAAGAACAGCATTCCTCCTAACAAAAGGATGCCGATGCTCGAGATTCGACAAAATCGAAGGGATCAACGGTTCAACGATCTCGGATTCATTAATCCGGCAAAGAAACCGAAGAGTAACACCGCGAATGAATTCATTAGGCGGTTGAAGATTGTTACGGAGATTCTGACAGATAAGGATCATCTCGGGGAGAACCTTACCGCGTGAATCAGTTTTGTCGGTGATTTCGAGATACAGAAGGAGAAGTTTCTGAACGGTGTGATCGTCGCAAGTAAGAACGTGACGGGTGACGGTGATGAAGAGCTGAGGAATGGTTTTGCCGTTGAGGAGAAGCATGATTGCTTTCTTGAGTGCTTCGATCTTTGATGCGACGTCGTTTCCTTCAAGAGCTTCTTTGATCTCGGTGGCTAGTGTCGGTGTGCCTTTGTCGAAATGCACTACTAGACTGCATGATTTCTCCATTGTTAGGGTTTCAGATCTGATATGAACTCACGCGATTTGGAATTGCAGAAGAAAAGTATAGAGAGAGTGTGTCAATTGTTGGGAGAGAGAGAGAGAGAGAATTTTCAGATCTCTTTTTGGTGATTCTCCAAGGAGTGTTGAAGAATGATGAAGATGAGGATCAGAGGAGGAGTTTCTTGGTGATTCTTCTGCAGAGATTTTAAGAATCAATGTGAATTGGTAAGTTTCTATAGTTAAATCTATTATGTATATGTTAAAAAAATGAATCTCCCCCTGTTATACAGCTATCAAAAATCTGTTAGAAAGCAGTTAGTTATACAGTTATAAGTGGTTAGTTAAGTTGGTTAATTGAGATATGGTTTTGGATAGGAAGTTATGGTTAGAAAATTCTGTGAGGGAATTTAGTTGGGGAATAGGTTGTAAGAAAGCTGGAAATTTGTTGTTTAGAAGTTCTACTTTGGAAGTTGGTTAAGAAACGGTTAGGAATCTGTGAATTAGAAAGGTTGGTTGAAATTGTGTTAGTTATAAGTTAGAAGTCCTGTTTGGAATTGGTTGGAGTTAGAGGAGTTAGGCTGTTAGAGGAAGTTGTGTTACGGTAGTTAAGAGATGAGCTGGAAAATCTTTGTGTTAGTTTTGGAATGAAGAGTAGCTAGGATACTGTTTAGTTATTTTTCTGCTGGACAGTTAGGAAATATGACAGTTTAGTAGCAAATTAGTTAGAAATTCTATTGTGAAAGGAGGTTAATGGATTTAGCTAAATTTGTTGAAGGCAATTTTGTTATTAAGAGGTAATATGCTATGTGAAGAAGTTAGTAGTTGAACGAAAATGTTAGTTGGCGTTACCATGCTGTTGCCACCAAGCAGCTGGTTCAAGATCTGTTCTTGTGCTAATTGCCAATTCAGTTCCAAAATCATCTTGTGCAGAATTATAATGAGCAATTTCCATTGATGCAGATATTCGTCTCATACTATCGAGATCTTGCCGAACAATGCATTCATTCAGCCCTCGTACTACTTCAGAATGCGCAACAAAATCCTGACGGTATCGGTATGATGGATTCAAAAAGTAAGCAGCCAAGTAAATAGGATGACAGAACAGAGAGTTACAATGCCTATCTATCACCTTCCAGAATGGTTCATATTTACGTGCATCATTGCCATGTCCAAATTTGATTGCAAGTCTTGCCCTGTACAAGTCGTTATATAAAAATGACATTGACAAGCTCTCGCCACTAGACACCTTTTTGAATCAATTGCAAAATGGGCTCCACTGATTTCCTCACATACTGCATTTTCTTCCAAAATGTAACATTCAGAACAATTCTTTGTACCTCTTTCCCCTCACTTGAGCTGGAAAACCTGGATGACATCCATTTGTTTGAAAGAAACATTCGTCTAAGACTAACTCGATGATCCAACAAACTCTGCAATGTAGCAAAGCTAGAAGCACACTGGGTGCCGGCTGGTTTAAGAAGATCCTTTCCCTGGGTAAATTCATTTTTCAAAAGATTTAACAACCATATTTGATTGTATATTAGTTTTGTAATTTTTTTTTGTATGAATGTGCAGGTCATGAACTGAAGATGAAGAACTTTGGCATGGCATGGAATTAGAAGCTTACTCAGGGAATTTGAGCACCTTTAGGACTAAAGAATTTTGTTCAAGTGTATTTTGTAATAGTTTTTTTTTGTAGAATATTGGTGTAATGGGATTGTAATGATTTTATAATGAATGTTTGGTTTGGATGAACTTGAAATTTATAGTGTGAATTATTAATGACTTTGAGCTTGAAATGTCGGGTGATGGATTTTTTTTGGACGGAGTTTAAATGACAAAAAAAATGCTTGAAGATATGAAAGCATCAAATTTTCTTGTGGGGTGTTGTTACAATTGAATGAAATTGGATAGTATTTTCTTGAGCCATGAATGAGAATGAAATTGAACGGAATTGGATAGTATTTTCTTGAGCCATGAATGAGAATGAAATTGAACGGAATTGGATAGTATTTTCTTGAATAAATGTTTGAATGCATTGTGAACTTGAATCTGAAATAACGGTGAACATCTTTGTAATGCGTATGAACTCCGACTTGAAACAAAACCTCGCAGTCTGCACTTTACCTTCCAAGAAAGCCATATGAACAATACTTAAGACTCTTTGCCGACTTTAATCCAATCAAACACTTTCGAACATCTTGAACTCAAATCAAACTTCAAATCCAAATCACACTTGCATTCTCAACGAACTCCTAACTTCAATCTTGAACCCAAATCAACTTGAATGACAAATAATTTGAATAGTCAATAAGATCTTGATCCTAAAAATTCACAACCTTGCCTTTTATATCATGCCTCATATTCCACGATTCAATCCACAAGTCTCTTATCTTGACAAAGTCCTTCCCTAATTGATGACCTTAAATCATCAAAGATGGATGTAAATGATAATGAAAGAATATGATCAAGATTAATATGAAACCTTATTTCCCCTGATCTCCAATTACTTGAACTTTTATCAATGAATAGAAACCCTGATTTTTAATGAATTTTTTCTTTTCTGAACCAATATTTCTTTTCCTTTACCATACCATTCTTCAAATGCAACTCGAATTCCCAACACATATTAGATGAAAATTCAAGGGAGACCTTGGTCCCAAAGTTAATTTTTCAAAGCTTACTTTAACCGAAGTCAACAGATCTTATCCACATATCTTTGAAATTGGCCCATGATTATGCATCTCAAGGTCTCATAATAGCTTGTAAGCCCATCAACCAGGTATGCCATGCTGAACAAACCCTGCCTTGAATGTCTTGAACCTTGAATTAACTTGCATGAATTCTTCTATGAGAAACCTACTTCAATCCAAACCTACTCGCATCGCAGATAACAAATGACAATGAAGAGGATAATGATTGCCTTGGTTAAGGAGAAATCTATGAATTCATATCTTAGGTCATGAACCACGCTTCACAATTCAATCCTCAGCCCTTAGCGATAGGTTATTTCAACTTGAGATTAGTGTCATAAGGAACATCTTACAGATGGATGATAAAGTCTGAATCACAGAAGAGTTCCCTTGATGTGAAACCCTCACAATCTTGATTCTTCGTTCAGACGCACAGAGAAATATTCGGATAAAACATCTTTGAACCATGATTCAACAAAACCTAATTTGATTAACTGAGGAGTAGATGATTGTCATGTCACAGTCATTAATCCTAATCAAATGACAAGCATACTTATAGGAAAGGACGTCATAATTCGAAGCCCACATATGCTAGGTCACGTCCTAGAGTTCTTGACCAGAATGACCTACAATCGATTGTTTATCAGAAGATAATAGCCTTGCTGCTTGAGGGAGAAGAAGTCCTTTATTGGATATGAGCGCCTTAACCACTATGAAACCCTAGTATCGCACAATCACTGAACTTTGAACCTCAGAGCTATATTGAATGAAATGTATGCCATGTTAGTGACCTAATGAAATAGATGCAGATGAATGCAAAAGTCTAAGCCAAAAAGTGCAATTAGGAGGGCAAATTTTAGGGTGCAACAGTGTGCAATGCTGTAATTCAGTTTTTTCTAAGCGGTTGGATCCTCCCCAACTTTAACTCAAACTCCATCATCCTCATTCCCAAATTTAAAGAAGCTGAGTCTATGAACAACTTCAGGCCTATCGCCCTTGCAAATTTAAATTTTAAAATCATCACCAAAGTTCTCGCGGACCGGCTGGCCATTTTCATGCCTATTTTGGTTTCTCCGGAGCAAAGGGCTTTTATTCAAGGGATATGTATTAAGGATTGTGTTTGTATTGCCTCTGAAGCGATCAATCTTTTGCACAATAAATCATTTGGTGGAAATATTGCTTTGAAGGTGGATATTGTGAAGGTGTTTGATACTCTTTCTTGGGATTTCCTCATTAAAGTTCTTAACAAGTTTGGTTTCAACACCACATTCTGTAATTGGATTCATAACATTATGGCTTCTACTAAGCTCCAAGTCTCTATCAATGGTGCAAATCATGGTTTCTTTAATTGTACGAGAGGGGTTAGGCAAGGGGATCCTCTCTCTCCCTTGCTCTTTTGTCTGGCCCAGGATGTCCTTAGTCGGGGTATTTTCAAGCTTGTGCATGTTGGCTCCCTTAGCCTTACAAAGCTTCTTCTGCTCATTTCATTCCTTCTCATATCATGTTCGTAGACGACATCCTTCTTTTCTGCAAAGGTAAAATCAACAATCTCAAAGCTTTAAGGGACTTATTTAAGAATTACTCGGCAGCTTCGGGGAAGATTGTAAGTGTTGTCAAATCCTTCCTTTTTGCCGGCGCTATTCCTCATGATAAGTTATCCCAGATTCTTTCTATGACTGGGTTTTCTCTTGGCTCGCTCCCTTTCATTTATCTTGGGGTTCCTCTGTTCAAAGGTCAGGTTAAGTGCTCTTATCTTCAACCGATTGCAGACAGAATTATTTCCAAACTGGAAGCTTAGAAAGGCTTGGTTTTATCCATGGCTGGCCGCACTTTGCTTGTGAAGTATATTGTGCATGACATGCTTACGCATGCCATGGCTACCTATTCTTGACCCTCCTCTCTCTTCAAGCATATTGAAAAATTTATTCAAAATTTCATTTGGTCTGGATCAGTGGATAATAGGAAGCTTGTTCAAGTGGCTTGGAGCAAGATTTGAAAGTCTTTTTCTCATCGAGGTCTAGGCATTAGATCTTTATCCAAGCTTAATGAAGCTCTTGAAGCTTGCTTGGGATTTGGTTACTAGTCATTATCATTGGGCCGAAATTCTGAATAGTCGGGTGACTAAGCGGTATAGAGTGATTAAATACCATATTTTCTTTTCTATTTTGGCTTCTATAAATTCTGAATATGCTCTCCTTCGTAGCATTGGCGTTTAGTCGGTGGGTAACGGTTCTAGCATTAGATTCTGGCATGACCAATGGTGCGGCTCTCCCCTAATTGCAGAAACTTTTTTGTCAGTTCTTCACAATCTTGGTATTTTTGATTCCTCTAATCTCTCGGAGTTTATTGAGGATGGTAATTGGGTAATACCAGTTTCTTGGTTGTTGTTTTTTCCTTTTATCCAGCTTCGGTCGCTTCCTGCTATTTTTCCAGATCAGCAAGACAACTTTATTTGGCCTCACACTTTATCTGGTGAGTTAACCCTCAAGGATGCTTATATCTTCAAAGCTCCTTCTTCTCCTCAGCTTTGGACAAAATCTGTTTGGAGATATCCCTCCGGCTAAATCTCTAGTTGTTTGGAAGCTTATGTTAGAGAAAATTCCTTCGGATGATAAGCTTATACATAAAGGCTTGTGTTTCTCTTCTATGTGCTCTCTTTGTAACAATCATGTTGAGAATAGCAAGCATTTGTTCTTTGATTGCGCTTTTGCGGGTAAAGTTTGGAGTTGGTTCTACAAGGTCATCAATATCTATAATCCGCCTCAAACTTTAGAAGATTGGTGAGAGCAGTGCGCTTCTCAGTCTAAACAGTGTAAGGTTGTTCTTCATTCTGCCATTATTTATATCATTTATTTCTTATGGGAAGCTAGGAATTGAGCTAGGTTCAAAAACATTGCGCCTAATTTTTGGAACACCATTAAGAAAATCTCCAGCCATATCACTCTCATCGGGATGAACACCACACCTTCTTCTTACTCTTCGATGGATGACTTTTGCATTCTTAAGATTTTCAACATAAAGACCTGGCCGCCGAATGCTCCTCGTATTATTGAATTCTTTTGGCATCTTCGTCCTTTGGATTGGGTGAAATGTAATTGTGATGGCGCTTTTCCTCTCAATTCACCGATGGCGGGCTGTGGTGGGATTTTTCGTGTTAAGTTCGAGAATTTTCTCTTAACTTTCGCGGCTAATGTTCCTTGGCCTTCCTTTTCTCATGTTGAGTTCCAGGCAGCCTTGTTTTCTATGCAAATTGATAAAAGTAAAGGTTGGAATAAGTTGTGGATAGAGTCGGATTCTCAACTTGTGGTGAAGGCTTTTGCTAATCATTCGCTTGTCCCTTGGCAACTCCGTAGAAGTTGGGAAGATTGTATCTCTTACTATAGCAACAATCATCTTTTTGTCTCTCAAATCTTTAGGGAGGGTAACTTTTGTGCAGATCTGTTAGCTAATTTAGACTTAAACTTGACTACTCTAACATTTTTTGAATCCATTCCGATTAGTTTAAGGAAAGATTTTGTAAGTAATCGAG